TATATATATATAGATTACTTTGGATATGGATTATCCTTGCTACGCTACATTAATGATACCTCAAAATCATTTGCTAACAGTTCATTCATATACATACAAACGCACTCAGTGTATTTTGCATGATGCCTTCGAAAGGGTATTAAGGCAATATGCTAGATTATTTGGCTGCTCAACTGCTAACAGCAGGCGACCGACAGCCACTTGCTGTGTGTGTGTGTGTGTGTGTGTGTGTGTGTGTGAATGAGTGGAGGTGAATACGTGCCTGGGGCTTATCGTCATCAAGTAGCAATTGGGGAGTGACGCCATAGTCTCGCCAGCCACTAAACATTTTAATTAGAAAATTTCACACAGCCAGTTGAGCCGACCGCAAATCCAATTATCAAGTAATTATGCATTTAATTTAGCGCATAGGAGCATAACGCCGGACCCATCTGGGCATCACTACATATAATCGACAAGCGGGCAGGATTCAGGACTCAGGATTCTTAGTGCCGACTGGCCAGCCAACCGAGTGAGCAACAAATCAACAACGCCGGCACATCCCATGCACTCGCATATGCATAAAATGCAAAAACTTTTCGTTGACTAACGATATACAGCCGAAAAGCTGAGAGAATTTCAATTTCAGGAGTTGCCAGTGTTGTCTGGCAGCCTCAAAAAACAACCAGGCAAACAGCACAAAAACAAAAAACAAAAAAAAAATAGTTTGCAAACAACACAAGCGTATCTTTCACACATGCCACGCCCATCTTAATACTTGTGCTGTCTGCGTGTGTCGCAATTAAAAGTTTGCCGACGCTTATTACAAATGTCGAGACCGCAATCAGCAGAGTATCAAAGAGGTCAAGTGCAGCAACGTCGGCATAGTGTTGCATAGTGCATGCAATTTATGACCAGCTTGACCAACACTAATAATTGGCATAGGTCGCGCTATAACTCAGAACTTCTGAGTTCGTAGCACTTTAAAGGATTACATACATATTGTTATTATTTGCTCAACAATGTTTTTTTTATACCCTGAACCCATTGAAAATGGGAAATCAGGGTATAATGGTTTTATTGAAATGTATGTAACAGGCAGAAGGAGGCGTGGCAGACCCCACAAAGTATATATATTCTTGATCAGGGCGACGAGCTGAGTTGATTTGGCCCTGTCCGTCTGTCTGTCCGTCTGTCCGTCCGTCCGTCCGTCCGTCTGTCCGTATGTATGAACGCGTCGATTTCAGAAGATATAAGAGCTAGAGACTTCAAATTTTTTTTAAAATGNATTATTCCAGCAGATTCTTAGAATCACATCAGCAGTGAGTTTCGTTTAGTTTTGGTAGATGGCGCTGCAGCAGTGAATCTATTTGAGTTTTGCTAGCGCCACTAGCAGGAGTGAGTTGGCCTAGTGTGTTAGCTGCACGATGCTCGATCGAGAAGTCGCGGTTCGAATCCCGATCGGTGCAACTGATATTAACTTTTTAATTGTTTCAAAATATTTTTATATTTTATTAAATGAGTTTGGTATTTTATTTATATTTTTAAATACATCGAAATTGAAATTTCAGCCATACTAAACGGGCATTTTTGTTTGTATCTAGTCGAGCACTCTCGACTAGAGTTTTCTTACTTGTTTTTTTTTTTTTGTTTTTTGCCATAAAAGACCTTTGCTCGCTGATAAAGTGCCAGATATTGGGTCACACATACATACATATAAAAAAAAAAACAAGTAAGAGTGTTCTAGTTCAGACTGCTCGACTAGGAGATACCCTGTAATGTGGGCACTATTATGAGAATTTACTCGTTGATAATTTCTTTTGCAGTAAGACTTCATGAAACTCATCATGAAACATTCTGAACGTGAGCATATGGTTAAAATGTGTGTTCCAAAGCACAAATCTCTAGTACTTGAACTACGTTTTATACAAATTGGGGGCGAAAGAACTGTGGTATCCAAAATCTGTAAATACCAAATTCTTGGTATTCATCAAAGGTATATTCACGAGTATGCATGCCAAATTTCAAGTCTCTAGCTTTTCTAAGACGGACAGGTCTATATCGACTCAGCTCGTCATTCTGATCAAGAATATATATACCTTATTTGGTCTGCGATGATTCCTTCTGCCTGTTACATACTTTTCACAAAACCATTATACCCTGATTTCCCATTTTCATTAGGTTCAGGGTATATTAAAAATAAAGAGTACGCCAACATTTATGTGGTAACCTGGTTTTTGGATAGGCTTCAGCGAATTGCATTTCTGTCTAAAAAAAAAATGCGATTAAATATATCAAGCAGTCTAAGTTGGTTACAATGCATTCCTAGACGGACTTAATGTAAGGGTTGCGTGAACAGTCACAGATTTCATTGGCTTTAATGTCAGACATGAAACTCTTCTTGTTAAAGCATTGAAATCGAGCTGCAAGCAATAGCAAGTGAAAATTTGACATCAAATTATATACCTTAACACCTTTAATTAGATACTGGCGAACCAATTAACACCCGCCCACTCAAGCACAGCCATTCATTAGACGCTAATGATGACATCAGACAGGAAAGCATCGACAGGTCTACATATATGTATAAATAAGAGAGCACCTTGAGCTGTATCCACAGTTGTGCTGCTAAAGAGTGAACTAAATATGAGACAGGAACTTCAGACAATGTCCACACCGGACATGCCCATTTTTGGCGTTACGTTGCGTTTAATGAAATTCTGGTCATATCTATTCGTTCACAATTGGCGACGCTATTTGGCCCTAACGCCCTTTGCCCTCATCAATGTGACCCAATACGTGGATATCTACCTAAGTTCCGAGCGCCTCGACTTTATCATACGTAATGTCTATCTGACTGTGCTCTTTACCAACACAATTGTGCGTGGCGTCCTGCTCTGTGTGCAACGTGGCCGATACGAACGTTTCCTAGAACTCTTGAAAGTCTACTATCTTCAGCTGCTGGTGAGCATCACAACATATTCTATAAATATATGAAAGTTGATAGTGGCAGAGTGATGTATATACATAAATACATATGTATGTATATGTATTTATTGCATGACCGCATTTCTCCCCTGCGAATTCTTCATACTCTTTCACAGTTCATAAGTCATCTCAATTCGCATCCATTTTGTAAGCTGGATAGTTTACACCAGTCATAACACGCATACATACGTATACATTTACTCACATTGGTTAACATAATATTATATATATGTTGATTTCCGTGAAATTCAATTTAAATCATTTCCTTGAGCCTTTGAAAGGTCAGGTTTGAAGGGTTTAACTGGGTTTTAGTTGGTGTTTCTCAATTTATATTGAAATGGTCAAGCGAAATACGACAATCGATGAAATCGATGCAGTCGCTAATCTAACTAATGCACAATAAAAAGATAAGGGGGATTTACCGAAAGAGTAAAAGCTAAAAAAAAGTCCCCAAAATATTTATAATTGTTGGTCATATCCGTTAAAATTAGTCATTATATTTTAAAGTGCATTATGCAGTATGCACTATGCATGAAATACAAATGTATATATGTATACCCTTTGTCGGCTGTTACCAAGAAAAGTAAATAAAAGTAAAACACAAAAATGCTCACAAAGTATATATAATTGTCGTTGTAAGGGTTATAAAAAAACTTGAGTAAGTCTGTTTTTACATAGACTTTTGATTAGTATAATTGTGTAATTGTGTGTGATAATATGTGTATTGAAAAAAAATGAATAAAAATTATTTTTCTTATGTTTCCTGTCGTTGGCATCTGAATATATATTGAGCAATCAA